GAGAGCGGCCACTGCACTCCAGTCTGGGTGACAGAGTGAGACTCCAACTCAAAAAAATATTTATATATTGTTGTGAAAATTAATGAGTCAATATTTATTTTAAAAAAAGGAAAAATAAAGTACTAACCAAAAGTGTTAGGGTGTTCCCTCAAAAAAAAAAAAAAATCCCTCCAGAAACAAGTCTCAAGTTTGAAGTAAAAATTCACAAAAATAGTGATTAAAAAATTCTGAAAAATAAAAATTAGCATTCTGTATTTTTCTGTAAGTACTAACTTATGGTGACTATATTGTTAAACTTGCATAAAATTTAAGGATTGTATGTAGGCCAAGAATTAAAGTAATGTTTTTCTTGCAAAGACTAATTGGAGAAATTAAAAATTGCACTCTAGGTTTAATGATAATAATGACATCTTACATTAGTAAACCTATTTCATAACTTGCAAAGCACTTTTTATATCTCATTTCACTCTACAGCCCAAACCATCGGGGCACTAAGGGGAAGCAGATAAACCCATTCTTATAGATGAGGACACTGAGGCAAGAGAGTTTGCAGTCTTTAGTTGTTGTTTGAGCAGGTGGGTGTGGGGTGGGGATTAGGGGAAGAATCAAAAGACAGGGTGTGAAATTCAAATCTTACTTACCTTTTATTTTCACATCTTGAATTTTTTTTTTCTGAGTTGGAGTCTCACTCTGTCGCCCAGACTGGAGTGCAGTGGCCGCTCCCAGTCACTGCAGCCTCAACCTGCTGGGCTCCAGCCACAGCCTCCCAAGTAGCCGGAATTACAGGCATGTGCTACCACACCTGGCCGATTTTTTGATTTATTGTAGAGTCTTGAATTTTTAAAGAAAATAATTAATTTAACAATTTGTTCATTTGTTAAATAATGCTATAGTGAATGACACTGAATTTGAATTCTTGCTTATCTTCCATTAAACACTGGTGGAGCCTTATTTACAGCTGAGGTGTGTTCCTGTGACCACAAAAACAAGGTGGGGGTGGGTGTGTCTTGGAAGCAGGAGGTCTTTCCAAGTCTTCAGTGGCTGTCAGTCCTAACTTCATGTTTGCAACACCTGGAAAACTTTCATTAAAAAAATTTTTTTTTGAGTCAAGATTTCTCTCTGTTGTCCAGGCTGGAGTGCAGTGGCATGATCATGGCTCATTGCAGCCTCCAATTCCTGGGCTCAGGCAATCCTTTTTATAAATAAAACTGCTACCCGGGCTGCATCTTAGCTCTAAGAGTGGATCCCTCACTCAGTATTTCAATGATGGCATGACCTGTGAATCATTTCTTCTTGACTAGCCTTTCCTAACTGAATTTGACTAAAAACAAGCTATCTTTCACAGGAGATGTCAGCTGCACCTGTTTCTGTTAACAGTGGTGCAATTTTCTCTGTTGCCTTGGAAATAATTTCATATTCCTCGTTTTCACTTTCTATTTTTCTTTGTCTGTCCTGCTTCACTCTCCCAGTGTCAGTCATTGGTTAGTCAGCAGGCAGAAGGTCCTAGAAATTCCTAACCTTGCTAAGGTTTTCTTGACTGTCTTGCTTTCAACTATTCTAATCTCATCCTGGCATCATTAGTGTGGCCTGTGGCATGCAGGTCCTCCCCCATCCCTCTGCCCATCGTGTGGCTCTTAGATCTGCAGAACACCTGACATGTTTCTGCTCGTTTTATCTTCCTGAATCATCCTTTTTGAGCCT